TCGACAACTGCGAGGAGGAAAGCCTCCTCCTCCTCCTCCTCCTTCTCCTCCTCCTCCTCCTCCTCCTCCTCCTGCTCCTCCTCCTCCTCCCCTTCCTCTTCCTCCTCCTCCTCCTTCTCCCTCTTCCTCCTCCTCACCTCCTTCATCCTCCTCTCCTCCTCCCCTCTCCTTCTCCCCTCCTCCTCTTCCCCCTCCTCTTCCCTCCTCCTCCGCTCACTCCTCCTCCTCCTCCTCCTCCTCCTCCTCCCCCTCCTCCTCCTCCTCCTCCTCCTCCTCCTCCTCCTCCTTCTCATCATCATCATCTCATCATCATCATCATCATCATCATCATCATCAGCATCAGCATCATCATCATCATCCATCATCACATCATCATCATCATCATCATCATCATCATCATCATCATCATCATCATCGCTTCCTTCCCTTCCTCTTTCCTCCTCCTCCTCCTCCTCCTCCTTCTCCTCCTTTTCCTCCTCCTCCTCCTCCTCCTCCTCCTTCTCCTCAGCAGGAGGAGGAGAGGCGGCGGCCCAGCGGGAAGGCAGCACGGTGGGGGTTGGGCAGATGGAGGAGCACTGGTGGGGGAGGGGAGAAGAGAGTGATGAACAGCAGGAGGACAACAGGATGACGTTGGGGAGGATGGGGAGGCCGAGAAGGCGCACGAGGCACAGGAAACCGAGGAGGAAGAGCAGGGAAAAAGAAGATGAAAAGTAGGAAGGATGATCAATGTCCGATAATCGACTGTCGAGGAGTTTGTGCGTTGTTTGTTTTGTTCCTGTTTCTGGAAGCCTCACGGGGACCTCGCGAGACTTGCATGGGACCTTCGGGGCAAGTGGCTCACAGGGGGTGGAACCATGACAGGAAGCCCCGCGAGCCAACTGGTTCGTGGCGCCTTTCACTTGACAAGGAGAGAGGACTATTTTTTTGTTGTTTGAGGCTCAGGGGTTGGGGTCGCCATACCTCCTGTTACCCACACTGCGGGGACGTCACGGCGTCGGGGGTCTGGGCAGTGTGGGCCTTTCAGCATCGTTCCACATTCATCCCCACCACCCCACCACCCCAGTTGGGGATATGCCCCCTCGAAACCCGAGGGGAACAGCCGATGCCCCCATCTGACGGGGAAGTCGGCCCCTGGGGCCGAGGCCACGCCAGTGGGGATAGGGATCGATGCGGCGATGCTCAGCCCTCCCTCCCGTTTTCCCCCCGCTTCCCGCGTAGCCGCGGGGGGGGGGACTCAGACATCCGACGTCTTGGTTTGTGCAATCACGTCCCCCTGTAAGTCCCGACCCTTGTCCCAAGGACCGGTCCATCGTCCAAAGTCGTTTCCGAACGGTCCCTGGGCCCAGCGAGGGCCCCCGGAGGCCGCAAGCGGCCTCAGGCTTTCCGTCGTTTCGTGTGTCCACGACGCAAGCATGTCTGGGGAGCGGCGGGGAGATTCGGCGCGAGGAATGGAACGAGAGCGATGGCGAGGGCGAGGTGGACGGAGGGCGACAAGGAGGGGAGAGCCTGGCTGGGCTCCTGGGATGCCCCACAGGCCCTGGCTGGGCCCCCTGGGTCCCTGGCTGGGCCCCCTGGGCCCTGGCTGGGCCCTGGGGATGGCGGCACTTCACCCCGATCCGTTTCTGGACGTCCCCAGGGCCCGGCGAGGGCCTCAGGACGGTCCCCGCAGGTCCCGACGCTCTCCCCGGCGGGGCCATGCTCCGTCGCGCCTCGCTTTGGACGGCCCCGCGGCCCGGCGAGGGCCCCCGGCGGCAGAGACCTGCCAGAGCCAGCTCGCCGTGGGCTTGCCCACGGCGCGAGCGTGTCGGCGGGGGCAGGAGGACGCAGCCCCCCGTCAAGCAGTGGCGAAGCGTCCCTGCTCGGCTATAGGCCCACCGAGGTCTGTTCTGAGGACCTTCTGTGCTCTGCACCAGGTGCTCTCCGAACACGTCCGGCTGAGACTGCCATCTTTCAGCGCATCGGGCTTCTGATCCAAGAATCTTGTGTTTGGTTTTTTGCGAACATTTTTTGATCCTAAGAACATGTCGTGGTAGGCCTAAGAACATGTCGTGGTAGGCCTATAGGAATGCCGGTACGGTCGGTCCCTGCTCAATCCCGGGGAGAGGTACTCCGCACGGCCGTCGACGGCATCGAGAGCCCCCCGGGCCGGCGGGGCACGCTCCAGGCAGCGCCCCGCGCCGGCGCGCGGCGGCGCTGCCTGCTGCCCCCGCCCCCGCCTCCACGGCCATGAAAAGCCACGTCAGGCCTCCTCCTCCTCCTTTTCTCATCCTGCTCCGCCTCCTCCTCCCCTCCTCCTCCTCCCTCCTCCTCCTCCCCTCCCCTCCTCCTCCTCCTCCTCCTTCTCCTCCTCTCCTCCTCCTCCTCTACCTCCTCCTCCTCCTCCTCCCTCCTCCCCTTCCTCCTCCTCCTCCTCCTTCCTCCTCCTCCTCCTCCTCCTCCTCCTCCTCCTCCTCCTTCTCCTCCTCTCCTCCTCCTCCTCCTTCCTCCCTCCTCCTCCTCCTCCTCCTCCTCCTCCCACTCCCCCTCCTCCTCCTCCTCCTCCTCCTCCTCCTCCTCCTCCTCCTTCCCTTCTTCCCCCTCCTCTACCCCCTTCTCCTCCTTCTCGGCCTGGCGTTTTGGGTGGCCTTCAGGGCCGTGTTGGTGGCTCATCCCCCTCCTTCTCCTCCTCCTCCTCCTCCTCCTCCTCCCTCCTCCTTCCTCCTTCACCCCTCCTCCTCCTCCTCCTCCTCCTCCTCCTTCACCTCCTCCTCCTCCTCCTCCGTTCTCGGGCTTCGAAGCCCAGCTCGGGATTCGAGCATTGGCGAGGCTTCCAGGCTTGCTTCTAGGCCCACCCGAGAATGCTTTGAGAGCCTTTCATGTTCTTGGAGCAGTTCTGGCGGAGGCTGTCTTGTTTCAGCACATCCGGCCGGCTATTAGGTGCTGGGAGCATGTCTTTTTGTTCCAAGAACATGTTTGGGATTCCCAGGAGATCTCGTGGCAGGCCTATCGGAATGAGTGGGCGCTTTGCACCTGCTCAATTTTGGCGGTTGGAGAGCGCAGTCTTCCAGGGGATTGGCGCGCGTCAGCCTGGCGGCTCTTGCCTCCAGGTGCGGGCCCCGCGAGGGCGGCGGTCACGCCTAGATCTGGGGCGGAAGAAAACTGCCCCCGAAATCGGCGGCGAAGGGGGGGGGGAAATGAGAAGGGGAGGAGGAGGAGGAGGAGGAGGAGGAGGAGGAGGAGGAGGAGGAGGAGGAGGAGGAGGAGGC